CCTCGCAATTCTGCCTCTCCTCTAGCGCCGATTTGCGTCGACTGGCGTCTGGGAGTCGACGAGATAGCGCCAATGTAGCGTCTGTTAGCGTCGACGAGCGTCGATCGACTTAGCGTCGATGCGCGTCGATTCGGCGTCGGCTGGCGTCGATTCGCAAGAGCCGACAGGATGGTATGGGAGGCTCGCATGAGCTGCCACAGAAGCATCGAAGATCGAGTCAGCTCGAGGAGGCTCGGGGGGAGCGATGGGTCGGCCTGGCAGGCTCTCTCTTTGGGGGAACTCCTTCGGGGGGCCCGCCGCCTGTGGCGGTGGGCCCCCCTGTGGCGGTGGGCCCCCAACTGTTGCGGTGAGCCCCCACTGTGGCGGGGGGCCCCCACTGCGGCGGTGATGGCGCGTCCCCCCTGTGGCGGTGGGCCCCCCACTGGCAGTGGCCGCTCCCTCGATCGATGTCCGACGGCGCCGGGGCCTCGGAGCGGGCCGGCCTCTAATTTGCCGCCTCCGATCGGAGCGATCGGCATGGGTAGGGAGAGGAGGGGCACGATGTCCAGCGGCAGTTCCTGCTCATTTTGGACCGGAGTCGCTGCCCGCGCCGCTGCTGGTGTTGTTCGCTGAAGACAAGAAGCCGCCTGCCCTAATAGCGGCCGCTATCTGTTTTGGACAACAGTTGTTGTTGGGCATTCTATGATTTGTTCCGTGCCCATCTCGGGCGTCCAAATCCGAAGCGGGGGGCTTCTCCGGTAGCAAGACATGGGAGCCCTGCGTGTCCTCGAGATTCGGTTCTTAGAGTGCACCAGCGTGCGCTAGCGTCTGGAAGTCGATGATGTAGCGCCGATGCGCGTCGATCGGGCGTCGGCCAGCGTCGATGAGCGTCGGGCAGCGCCAATTCGCAAGCGCCGGCAGGATGGCATGCGAGGCCCCCGTGAGCTGCCACCGGACAGTTCTCCAGCACCACCGCCTGGGGCATCGATCTTCGTGGACCTCGGCGGGCGGTGGCGAGGGGTCTCTACAAAGGGTGCCCGCCGGGCCCGAGCAGATCCCCACCCGCCGTCTGCTGATGGGTCCCCGCGGATCGAGCCCCCGGGCGGCGGCGATGCATCCCGCCCCGCGCCGAAAACACCGGAGGAGGCGGGGGTCATCCTTCGGGGCTCGAGAGACGGGGGTCCATGCAAACGGGGGTCAGTCAGCGCGCCGGATCCAGCAGGATCCTGCGGATTCTGAAAGGCGTGATTGACCCAGGTTTGCATCGACCTGGGTCGGTGGATCTCCGAGGTGGCGTCGGCGGCGTCGGCCACGGCGATGACGACGACGACGAAGACGACGACGGCGAAGACGACGGCGACGGCGACGGCGACGGCGACGGCGACGACGACGACGAAGACAAAGAAGACGACGACAGCGACGGCAACGGCGACGGCGGCGGCGGCGACGGCGACGGCGACGACGACGACGACGAATCCTCGTTGGCGGCGGCCGCGGCGGTGGCGGCGGCCGCGGAGGACCCCGGCGTGCGGTGCCTGGAGGTCGCGCCGAGGCCCGGGGCTAGCGCCGGGGAGGCGCGGCCCGCCCCGCCGGCGTCGCAGGACCGGGGGGCGGGGGATTGGCCAGCAGTCTACCTGGGTCTCTCAGATGGCATCGGAGTAGATTCGGAGTAGACTCGTCCGCCTCCTCCTCCTACTTCTCCTCCTCCCACTCCTCCTCCTCCTCCTCCTCCTCCTCCTCCTCCTCCTCCTCCTCCTCCTCCTCCCCCTCCACCTCCTCCTCCTCCTCTCCTCTTCCCCTCCTCCTCCTCATTCCACCTCCCTCCTCCTCCTCCTCCCACTCCTCCTCCCCTCCACCTCCTCCTTCTCCTCCTCCTCCTCCATCCTCCTCCTACTCCTTTTCTCCTCCTACTCCTCCTCCTCCCTCCCTCCTCCCCTTCTCCTTCTCATGCTTTCCTTTTCTCCTCTTCTTCATTCCCCCCCCCCTCCTCCTCCTCGTCTCCTCCTTCTCCTCCTCCTCCTCCTTCTCCTCCTCCTCTCCCCTCCTCCTTCTCCTCCTCCTCCTCCTCCTCCTCCTCCTCCTCTTGCCGTCCTCCTCCTCCTCCTCTTCCCCGAGACTCCTGCCGTCCTCCTTGGGCAGCAATCCAGGCCGCCCAGATGGTGTCGGAGTAGAGTCGGCCAAGCGCAGAAGGGGGGTATGGGGAGGGGGGAAGGCTCCCCAGAAGCACCCGTGCTTCCTAGAAGGCGCGGGCCTTGCTCTATAGATGTAGGGCCGGCACCTCCCGAGAGGCAGCCTCCTTGTGAGAAGCCTTTCCCCCCTCCCCCATACCCCCTTCTGCGTCCCGCTAATAGACGGGGTCGAAGGATCGCGCCGCATCGCCGGTGCATCGCCGATGCGGCTCGGTGTGGAGCCCGTCAGCGCCGATGCATCGCCGACGTCACTGTTGCATCGGCGATGCGGCGCGATCTTCCGACCCCATCCATTCGGACACCACCTAGGAAGTCTCTACGCAAATCATGGGAGCCTTGTATACCTGGGGCTGGCCCGCTCGCTCTGCTCCGAGGCGTCACCTTCAACCCCCCAGCCTGGATGCCTACGCCTCATCGTAGTATGCCCAGGCATGGCAGTGTGGATGCCTATGCATGCCGCTGCTAATGTCTAGGCGTCCGCATGGGCATGCCTACGCTTGCATCAAGGGATGCGTCTGTGGACATGGCTGGGTATCTCTGGGCGTAGTGGATGCCAAGGCATCGACCTTGTGGTGCCTAGTCGTCGAGCTGGCACGGCCGAGTATGCTGCCCTAGCTATTGCTACCTCGTCTGTCCTGTCAAAGTAGTTCCCAACCATCCTGTGGTGTTGGGTCTTCGTTTTGAAGAGACAGCGCCCCGCGTCCTCCTCCTCTCCTTCTCTCCCCTCCTCTCCTCCTCCCATCCCTGCATCGTCTCTGTTTCGGCACACACCTCACACGTTTCGTGGCCCCATCAGGAGCTCCTCCGAAGGTCTCAGTGGTGCAGTTCGCATGTGGGCGTCGCGCCCGTTTCGGCACACCCCTCACACGTATCGTGGCCCCGTAGGGAGTTCCACCGAAGGTCCCAGTGGTGCAGTTCGCATGTGGGCGCCGCGCCCGTTTCGGCACACCCCTCACGTTTCGTGGCCCCACAGGGAACTCAACCAACGGTCCCAGCGGTGCAGTTCGCATGTGGGTGTCGCGCCCGTTTCGGCACACCCCTGACGCGTTTCGTGGCCCCGTAGGCCATAGGGAGCTCCGCCGAAGGTCTCCGCGGTGCAGTTCGCATGCAGGCGTCACGCCTGATTCGGCTCACCCCGCACAAGTTTCGTGGTCCCGTGGGGGACTCCACCAAAGGTCCCATTGCTGCAGTTCGCATGTGGGCGCCACGCCCGTTTCGGCACACCCCGCATTCGTGTCGTGGCCCCCATAAGGAGCTCCACCGAAGGTCCCAGTGGTGCAGTTCGCATGTGGGCGTCACGCCCGTTTCGGCACACCCCTCACACGTTTCGTGGCCCCGTAGGTAGCTCCACCGAAGGTCTCCGCAGTGCAGTTCGCATGTGGGCGTCACGCCCGTTTCGGCACACCCCTTACACGTTTCGTGACCCTATAGGGAGCCCCACCGAAGGTCCCAGTGGGAGGGTTCACATGCACCCGCCCACCTTCCAAACCGTCACGCCCCTCACACGTTTTGTGGCGACATGGAGAGTTCCACCGACGACGCTCCTCACAACTACGTCACTCACAACTGCATCTGGATGGGTCCTTCGCCAGGCTAATTGTTGTGTTCATCGGGGTCCGACTCATGTCCGTGGGGTATTCGACACGGCTTCAATGTGGAGTCGTCGCAGATTCGTCGTAGGTTTGACGTGGATTCGACGCCGGTTCGATGCGGAGTCGACGCGGAGAGCGGCGCGACGCGGCACGAGGTCCCGCGAAGATGCAGCATACAGCGGAGGCCCATGCCAAGAAACTCCTTGCTTGCCTCCAGGGTGCCCTGGGTTTCTTGGGTGTCGATGGCTCTGCTGTGGAGAGCGTACCGTTCCCACACCAAAACATCGATGGACTTACTGGGGTCTCAGGGTTGGGTTTCTCGTGGAAGGTTTCTCTTGTGGACTGGCCTCCACTGTAGAGGACATGGGCCCTGAGAGAACTGGGCCCCGACGTCTCCCTCAGTTGTTCGGGATCTCGGGGCCCTCCACGGGCTGGTCGTTTCCCCCAGGACCCGTTCCTTTCATGCCGGGGTGCTCAGGCACCGGTGGGCGAGGAGTGGGCGACTGTCGCAGGGGCGCGACGTGTGCACCACGTCGCTTGGTCGGCCAGGACGCCACGGGGCTCGGCGAGGGAGCTCGGCGTGCACACAGGCGCTCCGGCTTCCCACGGGCTGGGCAGCCGGGGCGTCTCTGCGCCGAGCTCCTGGGCCGACGATGCGATGGGGCGCGCTGCTCGTCGGGCCCCTCCCCGAGGGGGGGGTCGATGCGCCCCCCCCCCTCGGGCCCTGGCCTCTGCGAGGGTCCCCGATCCTGGAGCGTGGGCTCCTCGGTGGCCCCTCCCCTCCTCCTCCTCCTCCTCCTCCTCCTCCTCCTCCTCCTCCTCCTCCTCCTCTCCTCCTCCTCCTCCTCCTCCTCCTCCTCCTCCTCCTCCTCCTCCTCCTCCTTCCTCCTCCTCCTCCTCCTCCTCCTCTCCGCCTCCCCCCCCTCCCTCCTCCTCTCCTCCTCCTCCTCCTCTTCCTCCTCCTCCTCCTCCTCCTCCTCCTCCTCCTCCTCCTCCTCCTCCTCCTCCTCCTCCTCCTCGGGAAGAGCACATGGGCATGACCTCTCGGGGCTGCACCCCCAGGGGGGCTGGTGCGGACGCAACCCCTCGTCGAGGAGGGACGCGCCCAGGAACGTGTCTTCCCGAGGTGGGCCCCGGACTGTCGTTCCCTCGAGTCGCCGTCCAGGTCGAGGAGTCGGGGTCGCCCAGGGGTCGACCTAAACTGTGTTTTGGCGATTTCGTGGGCCGTTTTCGTATCGACATCGTCTTGCAGCAAAGGCGGATTGAAGACAACACGAGGGACAGCGAAAACGAAAACGCTGTTCAGGTCGATCCCTGCGCCAAGCTTCCCCGAGACCCCCCGACGGCGTGATCTTGTCCACGGCGTCGACCCCAACAGATCTGAACCCCCTTCCACGGGGCGAGCTTCTCATCCCAGGTCGTCTTTGCTTTTGCTGACGGTCCCGGAGATCTCGGGGGCGGCAAAGAGGGGGGTGATGACTAGGGGGGGGTGGATATCATGGCGGGGGCCATGATTTTTCCCCAGATTTCATGGCGCCTCTTCTTATTTCATTCCGTCCCTAGCCCCCCCGCTGGGCCGCGCACATGCCGCCAGTCATGATCTGCACCCCCCCCTCTTGGACACCCCCCTCTTGGCCGCTCCCGAAGATCTTGAAGCGCCCCCTAGGCCGGGGGCGGCGTCTGCGAGGCGGGCCCCCCGTCCTGGCCGGATGCCCGGCAGCCTCCTCTGCGTGCCCCGTCCTCACGTGCGTGCTTCGGAGGGCTGCGCCTCCGCGGCTGCGGCAGCCGCCGCGGCTCGTGAGCGGCACAGAGGGGGGTGCTGACTGGGCGGGGGGGTATCATGGCGGGGGCCATGCTACCTCCCCAGATTTCTTGGCGCCTCTCCTTATTTCAGCACGGCCCCGGCCCCCCCTGGGGCCGCGCACACGGCGCCGGCCACGATTTGCGCCCCCCTCCTCTTGGACGCCCCCCTCGTGGACGCCCCCGAGGAGGTCGTGAAGGGCCCCCCAGGCGCCGCAAACGGCCAGAAGCCTCCCGCCCCGTTGTCAGCCCTTCTTGGTGAGAGGACGTGGGGTCTTGCTGCACCCGCCAGGGCAGGAGACCAAGGGCAGCGGTAGGAGGGGACAGGCCTCAGGGGGGAATTCATCGACCCCGAGTCGCCCACTCATCGCCGACACGGGGCTCGATAGCCTGCCCCGCCCCAGGAACGTGGGGTCTCGCCGTCGGGGGCCAATCGCCGACCCATCGGCGATGAGCCCCCGACGGCGAGGAGGAGGAGGGGGAGATGAGGATGAGGAGGAGGAGGAGGGAGGAGGGAGGAGGAGGAGGAGGAGGAGGAGGAGGAGGAGGAGGAGGAGGAGAGAGGAGGAGGAGGGAGGGGAGGAGGAGGAGGAGAGGAGGAGGAGGAGGAGGAGGAGGAGGAGGAGGAGGGGGGGGGGGTAGGAGGAGGAGAAGAGAAGGACGAGCAGGAGGAGGAGGAGCAGGAGGAGGAAGGCAGGGATGAGGAGGAGGAGGAGGAGGCGCCACGAGTGGCCCGAAGCCTCCCAGCGCGGTGCCTCCACGGCGCGAGGGCGAGCACGCCTGGGCCTTCGGGGGGCTCCCCCTCCCCAGGACGTGTCCAGCTCCGACGACTCCAGCAGCGACGACGGCGGGGACCAGACCTCCGGCGACGACGAGTCCAGCTCCGCGAGCGGCGCGCCGGCCACGCCCCAGGGGTGGTGGTGGCTGACGCCCCAGGGCTGGAGAGGCAGGAGAGGGGAGGGAGGAGGGAGGAGGGAGAGGAGGGAGAGGGGATAGGGCAGAGAGGCATAAGGATGCGGGAAGATAGGAGGGAAAGAGAAGGGAGGAGAGGAGGGAGGAGGGAGGAGGGAGAGGGAGGAGGAGCACGAAGGTAAGAGCGTGAAGGCCGGACACGCCCCAGGGCTGGTCCAGGGCAACCCTACACGTCGGTCGTTGACCGTGGGATATTTTCTGGAGTCCTGGATCCCAATGCACAGCCAACCCGCACAACAAGGGTGGGCAACCTTCCTTCTCAGGGGTACCCTTGCATCCTTGCGTCCTTGGCCGCTATCGTTGGCCACGCCCCGCTCGAAGAGCTTCGACGTGGCCTCCCGAGGCCCTTGCATCCTTATTGCTCATCCTTCTGATACGGGTCGACTTTTCTTCAGGTGCCTTCCTACTTCAAGCGCCGATATGCTTTTGCCATGCTTTGCTATTCCTTGGGAGGGCCTGATCCCAATCTACTTTATCTGCATTCCTACTTCATGTTTCTAGCTACGTCTCTCGACCGACACCGTAGGATCAAGCAGTGGCAGAGCGTCCTCGCTTGCCTATAGGGCCACCACAGAATGTTCTGAGATCCTTTTGTGGCTTGCGCAAAGTGTTCTTAAAGCATGTCTGACTGAGACGGGCTGATGTTATTACGTCGGCTTCATGTTCTAAGAACAGCGTTTGTGCTTAGAGCATTCTTTTACTCTAAGAACACTTCGTGGTAGGCCCATGGGAATGCTGGGACCGTCGGTCCCTGCTCAATAAGGGGGATGGGAGGCGTTTCGGGTTTGAGACTCGAGGTTTTTGGGTCTTTTGCGTTGGTTCTGGGCGGTTTTCCAGCCTCGGGGTGCTCTCCAGCAGCTGCGGCTCACCTGGGGGCGTCTGGGGGAGTCCAGATCGTTCCGAACAGCCGCTCGAGATTCGAGCTATGATTCGAATCGCAGGCGGCGTGGAGGATCAGAGGGGGGAGCAGGCTCAAGAGGGGACGCATCGACCCCCAACCGCTCATCGGTTGCCCATCGGGGCCCGATATAGCCCACCCCGACAAGGAACACGCGGACTCGCTGTCGGGGGCCTGTCACCGATCTGTCGGCGATGTATCGCCGATGTCGGGCCCCATGGCTCCCCCCCCCCCCCGAGCCTGTCTCCTCCTCGCGTTGCCCCTCGCTGCGGGCAGTATCTCTGCCCACACCCAGTGCGTCGCGGACCTCCCGGGGAGGGGCGCAGGCAGGCGCAGAAGGGCGGTGCGCGTGGACAAATCGATCGGACCTCCGCGGGCCGGATCTCTGTCCACGCCCGCTGCGCCTCGGGCCCTCGGGGCAGGGGAGCTCGAGAGACTCCAGAGGTGCAGTGGGTATGGACGTGCCGCCGGGCCGAGCTATGAGAGCGAGGTCGGCGGCGGGGAGGGCACTCCGATGTTCTGCGCGTGTTCGGTGACTGCTCCCTGGCATCCTGGGGAGGGCAACGACCATGGGGATGTCCTGTGTGGCTTGGCCGGCGGAGGCCCTCGTGCTCTTTGACGGCTGCTCTTGTGTCCTGGGGTCCGACTGCACATCTTGCCCGCACTCACCTCGGGGACCCGGAGACCCTGTCGGCGCAGTTCTTGGCTCCGCGCTGGGCCCCCCGGTGGCGCCTCGGGCGCCGGCCCTGGCGCGCTCCGCGCGCCAGGAAAGGGGGGTCCAGCGCAGATCTAAGAAATCCGCGTGGAGCGCCAAAATTGTATGTTTATGGCGTTTTTCTTCTTCGAGACAGGAGGAGGAGGAGGAGGAGGAGGAGGAGGAGGAGGAGGAGGAGGAGGAGGAGGAGGAGGAAGAGGAGGAGCAGCAGCAGCAGCAGCAGGAGGAGGAGGAGGAGGAGGAGATGAAGAAGGAGCAAGGAGGAGGAGGAGGAGGGAGGAGGGAGGAGGGGCAGGGTGGAGGGAGCAGGGGGGGAGGGAGGGAGGAGGGAGAAGGGAGGAGGGAGAAGGTAGGAGCGAGGGAGGAGGAAGGAATGAGGAGGGAGCAGAGAGCAGGGAGCAGGGTTCTGGGAGCAGGTAGCAGGGAGCAGGGAGGACGGAGGAGGGACCAGGGAGCAGGGAGCAGGGAGCACAGAGCAGGGAGCAGGGAGGAGGGGGGAGGGATGAGGTAGAAGGGAGGAGGAACATGGGAGGACGGAGGAGGGTGGGGGAAGGAGGGAGGGGGTGGAGGAGAGAGGGAGGAGGGAGGAAGGAGGAGGGTCAAGCAGCAGGAACAGGACCGGGAGGAGGAACCCCCTTTCCTTGCCCCGCCAGCGAGAGGCTCGGAGCAGCCCGCCCAGAAGGGAGCCACCGCTCTGGCAGCGGGCAGGCGTCCGGCGCGGGGTTCCTCCCTGCCTCCTTCCTTTCCCCCCTCTCACCCTCCCTCCCTCTTCCTCCCTCTTCCCTCTGCTCTCTCCTTCTGCTCCCTCCTCTTCCTCCTGCTGTTCCTCCTCCTCCTCCTCCTCCTCCTCCTCCTCCTCCTCCTTTTAGAAGGGTCGGTGTTAGGCTCTGACGAAAAAGGCTCGAAACCTCTCCTGCCGCATCAGTCCGAGTCCACGTATCGAGCTACTTTGCAGCTGCCTGCGTCCAGGTGGCTCTTCCGCACTGGTGGTCGCAGGGCGACGCATCGTTCGCCGTGCAACTGCCGTGCGGAGCCTCGGGAGCTGGGGTGCCGGCTCCTCCGGCTCTCGGCCTCTGCCAGGCGTCGGCGGCAGTAGTCCTCCGTCCGTCCAGTTTTTTTGTTTTTTGTTTGTTGTTTGTTTTTGATTGTTTTTCGGCTGCACCAGTTCGACATATTGTTGGTGCAGACCCCCCTCCTTGGTAGCTGGCCCCACCTGTGCAGGTGCTGGTCAGCCTCCAGCGGAGGCGCGTGGACGTTGCTCTGCTCCCCTCGGGGAAGGGCTCGCCATCCCCCTGTTGCATCGCGGCAGCACCTTCGTCGATGCTCCACACATCTTTCTCCCTCCTCATCCCTCGTCCTTTCGGATTGGCCAGAGTCAAAGCTCATAGCTTGTAGCGTTCTTTCCCGTTCCTGCACCTCCTCCTGAAAGCCAGAAAGCCTCAAGGCAAGACAGTTCGTCGAACGTTGCCATCCCCCACCCAGGGCTGGTCGGCCCCGGAGGGTGATCAAGCCAAGATCTTGGAGACTCTTGGAGTGTTGGCTCCAGGAGTCGCCGGCTGCTGAGGTATTCTGCAAACGAGGTCAACGACAGCAGAAGACAGGGAGACAGAGAGAATACGAACTTACAACTGCTTCAGAGAGAGGAGAGGAGGGGGTTGCCGCCGCCGCGGCGTGGGGGCGGCAAAAAGGGCAGCGAAGGTGGGAGTGTCAGAGCGCGGTTGTGCGGCAGGGGTCCGCGCTCGCCAGGGTGGAAGGCGCAGAGGCCTCTCCTCCCCTCTGCTCCCGGGAACCCCCCCCGCGTGGCGCCCCCCGGCGTCCGACGACGGGGAGAGTCGCACCTGCAGGCAGGCGTGGGGTCCCCTCTACGTGGGACTGGGGGGCCGCCCGCCCTGCCCTTCCAGGAGGGCTGAACCACAGCACCAGGACGTCGACTTCCTGATTTCTGTCGAGGTTTGTCAGGCAGTCCAGACAGGTTTACCAGGTCTGGAGTGCCATTGTTTAGCACTCTGCAAGGTCAGGGTGGGGGGGGTCCACCGAGCGTGGGGCAGGCTTGAGCCCTCCGCGGCGGTGGCTTTCCCGTTGGCAGTCCGCTGGGTGGGAAAGAGGTGGCGGGCGGCGTGGGGCAGTGTGGCAGGTGACCACACTCGCCAAGGCGGAACGCGCAACGGCCTGCTGGTAGGAATCCGCAGCAGTCGTCCACCAATCCAACGATGGGAACCCTCGCCACTGAAACGATAACGCATAATGTGCAGCGCACACACTCTTGCACCATCATGATGAGAGGAGGGAGGAGGAGGACGAAGAGGAGGAGAGGAGAGGAGGAGAGGAGGAGGAGACGAGGAGGAGGGGGGGAGGCTGGAGGCAGGAGGAGGGGGGAGAATAGGATGGGAGGTGAGAGGGGAAAAAAAACAGGAGCAGGCGAGAGGAGGAGGAGGAGCAGAGGGGAGGCGAGGGAGGGAGGAGAGGAGAGGGGGGAGGTGGAGGAGGAGGAGGAGGAGGAGGAGGAGGAGGAGGAGGAGGAGGAGGAGGAGGAGGACACGGAGGAGGACTGGAGCGAGGACTTTTTGTTTGCGTTGTTGTTTTGTGTTCATGGTCTCGCTCTGATGAATCCGTGCCCGCGAATTCTGTATTTTCGTTGCGGTTCTAACGAGAACCCTGGGTGGTTCCTTAATTGCCAGATGAGGGTCGGTTGGGAGGCGTGCTAGCGCGAGGTGGCGTGCGCTCCGCAGGCGCCCTGGCCTTCGCCGGGACACCCATCCCACCCCTGAGTATCCTGCCCGTCCCTCCGCCACGCGAGTGGGCAGGTTCGGATGAAACTCCTGGGAGGTGAAATTCTGACTTCGGCCTGGTCCGAAATCCGGCTTACTCCCGCCTAATCCCGCGCACTCCGGCTCAATCTGGCGTAATCCCGCCTACTCCCGCTTAATCCCGCTTGCCCGGCGGCCTAATCCAGCGCAGCAGCACCCCCATGGGGTTTCATTCTCCCTAGTCTTTCCGGCAAAGACCTGCCAGTAGATACCTCTTGATATTGTGGGGGGCGGCCAAGACGGGGGTGATGAATAGGGGGAGGTGGATATCATGGCGTGGGCCATGATATTTCCTCAGATTTCATGGCGCCTCTTGTTATTTCATTACGTCCCTGCCCCCCCCCCGGGCCGCGCACGTGCCGCCAGCCATGAGTTGCGCCCCCCCCCTCGTGGACGCCCCCCTCCTTGGCCGCCCCCGACATTGTGGAGATGCTTTGGCTGTCTGCTTGTTTTGCCCCCCCTTGGGGGGGGCACCTTTGTCTTCAATTCTTCCGACGAGGACCTCCTAGTAGTTGCCTCCTGAGGTAGGCGAAAGCTCGAGGGGCGACGGTGGGGGCAGAGGGGGTGGCAAGGAGGTGGGCCAGGAGGAGGTGAAGGCTGGGCGATACGCCGCTCAAGGCCTACACTTTACTCCCGCAGGCCAGTGCTGCACTGGCGCGAATGTTCTCTTGAGGAGGATCGACTGGCTGCGCGTTTGGGTAATTACACGTGCGAGGAGGTGAAGACTGGGCAAGGCCCTCTCGAGACCAGTGGTGGGAGGCTCTTCGTGCTGCAACCTCTGGGGCCCCCGCGACAGTACGTGGTGAGAGGGGAATGCCTCTCCTCCCCCTCCTCGTCCTCCTCGTCCTCCTCCTGCTCCCCTTACGTCCTCCTCCTCGTCCAGTTCCTCCTCCTTTCCTCGTCCCTCTCATTGTCATCCTCCTCCTCTTCTTCATCCTCCCTCACTTCCTCCCCCTCGCGCTCCTTGCCCCCCTCCTCCTCCTCCTCCTCCTCCTCCTCCTCCCCTCCTCCTTCTCCTCCTCCTCCTCTTCCTCGTTCTCCTCCTCCTCCTCCTCTTCCTCCTCCTTCTCGTGTCTCCCTCCCTCGCCCTCCTGTTCCCCTCCTCTCCCACGCAGAGTCGCCCTGTATCTGCATGGCTGCAGCAGGGGAGTCTGGACGGCGAGGCTGCAGGTATGGACGCGTCTCCCGCCCACGAATGCGGCATGCCTCGCCTCGTCTTGTGGTAAGCATGGGCAAACCTCCTCCCCCTCGCCCCTACCCCTCCCCCTCCTCCTCCTCCTCCTCCTCCTCCTCCTCCTCCTTCCTCCCTCCTCCTCCTTCTCCTTCTCCTTTCCTTTCCTCTCCTCCTCCTCCTCCTCCCTCCTCCTCCTCTTCGCCCTCCTCCTCCTCCTCCTCCACCGTCCTCCTCCTCCTCCTCCTCCCTCCTCTCTCCTCCTCCTCCTCCTCCTGCCTCCCTCCTCCTTGTCCGTCCTCCTTCTCTTCCTTCCTCTCCCCCTCCTCCTCCTCCTCCTCACTCCTCCTCCTCCTCCTCCTCCTCCTCCTCCTTCCTTCTCCTTTCTCCTCCTCCTCCTCCTTTCCTCCTCCCTCCTCCCCTTCCACTCCTGCCTCTTACTCTCTCCCCTCCTCCTCCTCCTTCCTCCTCCTTCTCTCTCGCTTTCTTCCTTCCTCTTACTCCTCCTTGCTCTCTCCTCCTCCTCGCCTCCTCCTCCTTCCTCCTCCTTCTCACTCCTCCTCACCTCCTTCTCCTCCTCCCTCGCCTCCTCCTTCTCCTTCCCTTCCTCCTTCCTCTCTCTTCTACCTCCTGACCTCCTTTCACCTCCCCTCCTCCTCTCTCCCATCCTCCTCCTCCTCCTCCTCCTCCTCCTTCTTTCTCTTTTCCTCCACCTCCCCTCCTCCCTCCTCCTCCTTCTCCTCCTCCTCCTCTCCCTCCTCGCCTTGTCTTGTAGTAAGCATGGGCACCAGACCTCTCGACCCCGCCCATTGCCCCCAGGCCTGCGGCATCCTGGACCGCGCTCTCCTGGCCCCTGGGGCCCAGCGCGGGCCTTTTTAGGTGCCCTGGCGACGCGCGCGAGGGGGCGTTGTGCGAGGGGGGGCGGCCTTCGAAGCTGCTGGGGGGGGGAGGAGGTCCCGAGGGCTTCCGAGAGGGCCCATCAGAAGCACCATGCCTTCTTGGAACCTCCTGCGCTGCCTCCTAAGAAGGCCGCCCCCCTCGCGCTCCTTCCTCCCTCCACCTCCTCCTCCTCCTCCTCCTCCTCCACCTCCTCCTCCTCCTCCTCCGCCTCCTCCTCCTCCTCCTCCTCCGCCTCCTCCTCCTCCTCCGCCTCCTCCTCCGCCCCCTTTGCGCTCCTTGACCCCTTCACCCCCACCCCTCTGCGCGCCTCCAAGACCAGAACCGCGTGGACATCCCCGGAGGTCTGGACCCGTTCCCCCCATGGACCGGCGTCTCAACTTCTGCGTCGTGTCTTGTTACGACCCCGGGGCCCAGCGATGGCCTCTGGAGGCAGACAAAAAGCGAAACATCGGACGGGGCCAGGACGAGGACTAATCCTTTCCTGAGCGTTCCGGAACGGCGCCCCGTACCCCCTCCAGGGCCGCTGGCTCGCAGAGACTCTCGATGTTCCTCCTCGCCCGCTGTCATCCTCGCCCTGGCCTGGTCTTCAACACATACATGTCGTCGCCTGCTTTTGTTTTTGTTACCTCTCGAGGGGGGCAGGAAAGTCTGGGCCCCTCGCCTTTCTCGTGCTGTCTTCAACATGCACGTCGTCGACTTCTTGTTTACCTCTCGAGGGGGGCTGGGGCTGCCCGAGGGCAGGAAGTCGGGGCCCTCGCCCTCCTCGTGCTGTCTTCAACACACGTCGTCGACTTGTTGTCTACCTCTCCAGGGGGAACGGGGATGCCCGAGAGCAGGAAGGTCTGGGCCCCTCGCCCCCTCCGCGAGGCAGCCAGGCGGTGCCGTGCGGCGGCGGGCGTGCGCGAAGATGCTGGTGCGGCGGGGCGGCCCAAACCGCAGAGCCGCCCCCGACGCTCCGCCTGTCGCGCTGCGCCCCATGTGCTCCTTCCTCCTCCTCCCTCCTCCTCCTCCCTCCCTCCTTCCTCCTCCTCCTCCCTCCTCCTCCTCCTCCTCCTCCTCCTCCTCCTCCTCCTCCTCCTCCTCCTCCTCCTCCTTCCTCCTTCTCCTCCCCCTCCTCCTCAGTCTCCTCCTCCCTCCTCGTCCGTCCTCCCCCTCCTCCTTTTCCTCCTCCCTCCTTCGACTTCCTCCTCCTCCCTCTCCTCCTCCTCCTCCTCCTCCTCCTCCTCCCCTCCTCCTTTCCTCAATCTCGTTTTTTCCTCCTCGTCCGTCCTTCCCCATCCTCCTTTTCCTCCTCCCCTCGAACTTCCCTCCTCATCCTCCTCCTCCTCCGCCCCTCCTCCTCCTCCCCTGCTCCATCTTCTCCTTTCTCCTTTCCTCCTCCACCTCCTCCTCCTTCGCTTATCCTTCTCCTTCTCCTTCTCCTCTCCTCCTCTCTCCTACCTCCTTCTCCTCCTCCTCGCTCCTCCTCTCCTCCTCCTCCTCCTCCTGGCTCCTCCTCCCTCCTCTCCTCATCTCCTCATCATCATCATCATCATCATTCTTCTCCTCTCCTCTCCTCTCGCTCTCCTCTCCTCTCCTCATCCTCTCCTCTCCTCTCCTCTCCTCCTCCTCCTCCTCCTCCTCCGCCTCTCCTCCTCCTCCTTCTCCTCCCCCTCCTCATCGTTCCTTCTCCCTCTTCCTCCTCCTCCTCTTTCCTCCTCCATCCTCTCTCCTCCTCCTCCTCCTCAGTCTCCTCCTCCTCCTCCTCCTCCTCCTCCTCCTCTTCCTCCTCCTCCTCCTCCTCCTACCCCTTTTGGCGCCGACTCCCTGCGGCGCCGAGGGGGCGCGGCGGGGCGTTTTGGGCCACCGACTATCTCCACGCGGTATTGGCTGGGATCTGAGGTCTTTGGATCAGGACTGAAGATAACCACGCGTCGGTGCAAGCATGGGCAAATGAAAGAGAGCTCGCGATCGGCGCAAGGCCCAGGATATGGCCCAAGAGTGGCCGCCCCTCCCTGTCGGTCTGGAGAAGGGGGGTGGCAAGGGCGAGAGAAAGCTGGTGGCATCACGATGGGTGTGCGCGAGCGATTTCGAGTTGAGTCCTTGAGACACATTGCTGCTTCGCCGCGCGATCAGGTCGGCCTCGGGCAGCTGGCCCGGTCTGACCAACCAGGGCTGGACTTCCGCGACATGGTGGCCATGCAGCTGAGGGCTCAGAACCAGTCGCTCCTGGTCGTAGGCACCTACATGACGACGGCAGTGGGGCCAAGGGCAACGCTCACAAGCTTGCCTATCTCGCCGCTCGCTTAGCCACGATCTAGGGCATGTGGCTGGTGGTGGGCGACTGGAACATGACGTCACAAGAGTTAGCAGCCTCAGGTTGGTTAGACTTGTCCCAGGGAGTGGTTGAGGTGCCAAGCAACGCGACCTACACATGCACGGCAGGCTCGGGTCGCATGCTGGATTATCTGGTGACGTCGGCGTCGGCGCAGCACCTGCTGTCTTCCATCAAGGCCGATTTCGAAGCGGCCGAGGAGGCTGGCAAGTCCCACTACGGGTTGTAGAAGATCGTTTTGGACTTTGACACGACTAGAGCCATGGCGTGGATTTTGCATCGCCCGCGATGTTTTGACCACCCTGCTCGGCCAAAGCGCAAGCCTGCCCCCGAGAGCTAGCGATCGAAGGCTCGAGCGGTGATCCAGTCCATGCCGGCGTCGGAGAGTCAAGTCAAGGTTCCGACTCCAGCGGCATGGGGCTCCACGCGCAAGGGTGCCGTCAAAAGCCCACCTGCCCTGCAATACCTGCACTTGGAGTTCGAGGAGGAGGAATTTTGGACCGATAAAGAAGACGACGCGGAAGTTCCTCCCGACGATGCCGATGATCTTCAAGAGTTGGATGGTGTTCCCGAGCAGGAAGATATCTCCACCTATGCCAGCATTCAGAACTCCTGGTCAGGCTCGGCGAAGGATCTGTTGTGGTGCAGTCTTTCGGAGCAGGTGGCCCGACGACCTACACCACCTGACTTTGTCGAGTGCAGCTTGGGGTTTCAGGCGGATCCTGACGCGGCCCTTCGTCTGGGTGAGTTGTTTTTTGAGTGCTCGAACACCATGGATTTGTATTATTGTGAGTTGTTTTCAGGTGCACCCTCAGGAGCGTCGCCAGTACCCGGGCCGAGGGCGTCTGCAGGCTCCAGTCAGGAGGACCATGGACGGTGGCAAGCCTTGGCCTACAGCATCGTACATCAGTTCGCACTGGTGGCCGACGGTAGCCAATCATCTTGCAGAGTTGTCGCACGTGAAGTCGGGCCAGGATGGCTCGCCGCGAGCACGACATCCCAGGGGCCGTCTCCCAGCTCTAGCAGCCGCCATTCCAGTGTGCCAGATTGTTCCCTTGCCCGAGAGACGGAAGGTTCGTTGGGTTCGATCTCTGCGCATGCTGGATGGCATCACCAGAAAGTCTTGACTGGGTTGCGCTGGCTGCCAGGAAGGCGGCTGAACAAGCCCAACGAGCTGTCGCACGGGAGAGGTTCCAGGGCTTTCGGGACTGGGTGTGCCAGCGCGCAATCAACGGCATGGGGGCCTTGCATAGGCACGTGAAGGACCCGATGGCCGAGGTCAGCGAGATCCGCTACGCTGAGGGCACCGCGTTCGACGGAGCATCGCTGATGCAGGCCAAGCGTGCGACCTGGGCTTAGCTGTGGACCCCGTCGGACTGTTGCGCCGGTGATATGACGTCTGTGCTGCAGCGAGCCAGGGAACTTGCTCGACACGAATCGTAGCCGCCTCTCACCCTGGTCATCCTTGAGGCTGCTCTGGTAGCCATGTCCCCAGCGAAGGCGGCAGGCATAGATGGAGTTCGCCATCGAGATGTCTGGTGGCTGCCTGAAGCGGGCCGCTTGCAGCTCCTGTCTCTTTTCCAGCAGATTGAGCTCGCCGTGGCATGGCCACGGCAGTGGCTCACCGCCATCATAGTGCCGTTGCGAAAGCTTGATGTGCGCAAGGATCGTGCCATCGGCCTTCTCACCTGATTGGGCCGTCTGTGGAGTCGTCTGAGATCTCGTCTTGCGGAGGTCTGGGCCGAGGATCGCTCGGGGCCGCGGGGCGCCGCAGTTCGGGGCAATGGCGCTCTACGGGAGGCTCTGCTCATGTGCTATGCTGACGAGGCTGCTCTCACGTCGGCATTGCCTGAGTTTTGTTCTGCGTCGACTTTGCGGGGTGTCGAAGCTTTCTGCGGCGCCATTCGCTGGGGAAAAGTGGTGGCCCACGCTTCGGATTTGAATTTCCCTGCCCTCTGCCTTTCTTTAGGAGCCCTCCTGCACATGGGCCCGCGGATTCTTCGTGACGCGGGCTGCGTAGCCCCGCCCATTCTGCCTTCGGGGGGTCTTGTTGCTGGGGCTAGAATGGCACCCCACTTTGCCAAAATCCAAATGTTCTCGCTTTGTGGGGCTCCCCTCGCCGTTAGCTTCATGGTCCAGTTTCGAACTTGGATCGACGGCGCGACGCAGCGAGCGGAGGGGGTTCGCCGCGATGTTGTGGACCATCTCGCGCGCGCGGGAATCGCCTTTGCTCGAGGATGCCAGGGGGGGGGGGGGGGGGGTTGAAGATAGCGTCCAAATCAACTATCATCGCTTTTGATATTTCGGTTGCCGAAGAAGTCCAAGCTGGCTTGGGTGCGAGCGGCGTCGTCGTCGAGGTTGCGTCGGCGGCCGCCGATTTGGGCGCTGATCGCGGCAGTGGCGTGACGATTTCCAAGCCTCGTCGTGCCGAGCGCATCGCCCAGGCGCATCGGCGCGCGTCTCGCATCCAGAAGCTGGCGCGAGTTGCCCCGCGCAAGGTGGGGCCTGAACTTGTTCTCGCGGGAGCCCTCCCCCAGGCCTCTTATGCTTGGAAAGTGTTCGGATTTGCACCCGCCGTTCTCTTGCTGTGGAGGCGAGCTCTTGCGAGCACGCTGTCGCGAGGCACGGTCGGCAGATGCCTCGCGTCGCTCCTTGCTCTGGAGGTGGGCCGCAAGGGTCCCGCTTTTAGTTTTTTATGTGTTCTCGATTTGGGGTTCCTGGTTCCATATCGCGCCCAGGGTGTCGGACCAGGCCCTCCCTAGGATGCACAACTGTTCGAGGGAAGCTATCCAGAGAATTCAGGGCCTGGGGCCCATGCGCCGGTGGCGCATCATCCGTGGGCCGATCTCGGCCGTCGTCGCCACGATGCTAGGCCTTGGGTGGAGTCTTGAGGGGCCATGGCATTGGGCGGCGCCGTCGGTAGATGTTTTCGCGATTCCCGATGAGCTCCGGCCTGTGGCTTAAATGACTTCTGAATTCAAACGGGAAGTTGCGAATTCAATAGAAGCCCAGTTGCGGGCTGGGGCCTCTAAGTTTCGCAGCGCTCTCGGCTCGGAGGGCGGCGTTGATTCTGCTGTGGCACGTCGCCACTTGAACAGCCTGCGGAAAAAGGGCACCAAGCTGGCTGGCTTGCTGCGGGCAATTTTCACCGGTACTGTTTGGACCCGCTCCCGCATCATCAGCGCGGGGGGGCATTGCGACGCATTGTGCCCACGATGTGGGGCGTCGACAGAGACTGATGCTCACGGGTTCTGGGAGTGACCGTGTAATTCAGAGTTTCAGGAAAGCTCGGGCGCCTTCGCTCGACGCGGGGTCGCGGCTGCCAACGAGTGCTCTGTTCCCCGGCCTCCCCTGCCTCATGCCTAAGTCTGAGCCCGCGCTCCCCCTCCTCCCGATTCGCGTCTCTTCGCTGCGCCAGGTGCCTTTCCCCGGGTGGAGGGGCGTCGCATCTGGGGCGCGGCGGGCGCTGGTGGTGGTGGGGGAGGGGGGTTCTCGAGGGGTCGTAGGCTTAGACGGGCGTCTTGGGGGGTCGCGGTTTGTGGGCTAACTTTAGAAGAGCTCCCAGAACAGGTAGCCTTGTCCAGCCTTGCCCTTGTTGCTGGAGGTGGCATTTCCGGTAAGCACAGTGACAGTCGCGGGGGGCTCTGGGCCCTTTTTAGAGCGGAGCCCCGAGGGAGCTCAGTTAGGTTATATTGCGGACTCGGCTTATGTTGCCCGAGGAGCCTCTCACATTGCCACGGGTATGGTTGCCTGCGTTTCGAGCCACCGTGATTAGTGGGGCCGCGCGCGTGAGCTGCTGAGCGTTAGGGATCTGCTGCTCGTCCGAGTGCCGAGCCACCTTGATGTCAAGGAGGCTCTGGAGCGAGGCCTCAATCCCACCTTTATCGTGGCTAACGCCATTGCTAATCATGTTGCTGGTGTCATTTGTGAGGATGTGAAAGTCCCTTACGCGCCCAGCGCGTCTGCTCAGATGGCTGAAGCGATCATGCGTAAGGTTCAGAGTCACCTCCTCAGTGTCACGAATGATGTGCAGGAGAAGGAGGGCAAGCGCCCTCCCAGGCCACCCAAGGTGCGGGCGCGCAATACTCGTGCCAAGTTGCTCAGAGATGCAGCATTGAAGCCCGGTCGCGTCTGCCCGCGGTTTTCGGGCGATTTCGGTCAATGCCGCAAGTGTGGGTGACGTGCCAAAGCCAGCGAGCTCACTGCCTTCCCTGGGACTCCGTACCGCCCGATATCCTGGACGGGGGCGGTTTTTCGGCCCACAGGGGCCGTGTGTGTCCGCTCGAGGGAGGTGCGTGGCCCCCACCAGGTTTTTTTTGGGGGGCCTGACAGAGATGAGTTGTTTTGCACCGTGTGCGGGTGCTATAGCACGAACCAGTTGCGAGAGCTGGCCAGCGACTGCAGTGATAGTCTCGGCAAAGCTGGGGGCCAGAACTTGTCTCGTATAGGTAGAGGCCTTTTTCCTGGGAGCTGCGTATGGGGCAGAGGCGCCAGGGGCGGAGGGGGCGGGGGGGGCGGGGAGAGCGGGGGGAGAGCGCCGCGACCACGGCGCGACGGGCGGCGTTCGACCACGCTGCCGATGCCAGCAGCATCAGGCGCCGCCCCGCGTCCGCCCCCCCCTCCCCGCCCCTGCTGCTGCTCTTGCTGCCCCAGCTTGAACTCATCCATCGGTCATCGGGACCTTGCCCTACATACTATATGCTCCTCCTCCTCCTCCTCCTCCTCTTCCTGTTCTCCTTCTCCTGCTCTCTCCTTCTCCTGCTCCTCCTCATCCTCCTCCTTCTCCTCCTCCTCCCTCCTCCTTCTCCTCCTCCTTCCTCCTCTACCTCCTCCCTTCTCCTCATATTCTTTCTCCTCCTTCTCCTCTACTTTTTTCCTCCTCCCTCCTCCCTTATGGACTAGAGGTTCTGCGTTTTCTGAGCCTCCTCGCGGTGAGGAACATGTCGAACTTGTTGGTCCAGGATCCCATGCGCGATCTCACCATCACCATCACTGCCACCATCACTATCGTGACCACCACCACCACCACCACCATCATCATCATCGTCATCATCATCATCATCATCATCATCTTCATCGTCATTATCACCATCTTCACCGACATCAGCATATTCATCGTCATCATGACCAGGTCATCAACATCACCATCACCATCATCATCCTGCGTCTTTACTGTGGACATCACCCAGACATACATATTGTGTGTGAGTTTTGCTCTTCCACCCCCAAAAAAGGCCACGCGCGCGCTCGGACGTCCTGTATTTGTTATGTGTATATATCTATAGGTGTGTGCGCGCGCGCGTGTGTGTGTGTGTGTGTGTGTGTGTGTGTGTGTGTGTGTGTGTGTGTGTGTGTGTGAACGTGTGCGCGCTCGGTGGCGAGCGCTTTTTGGCCATGCGGCCTGCACAGCGGCATGCCGTTGGATGCTTGTACCACGTGCTTGGTTCGGATGCGCGCTTCCACTGGGAGCGCATCGTACGAGCCCGTCCCTCAGCAGCCCTGCTCACACCAGATGTGGCTTTCGGAGATGCCCAATCTCACCCTTTCAGGCTTGATCTTCATCCAGCGTCCGTCGTACACCGAGCGTGCGGGAGCTGCTGCCGCAGCCCCTGCGGGCGTTCTTTCGGGTGGGCGCGGGATCACCAGCCCCCGGTCGCCCACCCTCGCCGGTCCGGGCGTGGGTGCCCCAACTCAGCGACAAGCGGGGGGAACTGAGACAGGGACGGCCTTTTCAGAAGGCGGCGGGGCTTCTCGGAAGCGCCCTGGCCGTCCGAGAGGTTTCCTGCGTCCTCGGGGGAAGCTCTGAAGCAACAGATCAGAAGGCTTCCGAGCTTTCTGAGGAGGCCCGCCCCTGCCCACTTCCCCGCCCGCGCTCACGGCCGGCCAGCACGCGGAGGAGCTCGGGGTTTCACCGTCAGGCACCCAGAGGCCCCTCGCGCCGTGGAGGAAACGCGGCGGCTGGAGTTTGGCTGTCTTTATGCACGTGGGTTAAGTCGGGCTAGTCCCTCTACAGGAGGAATAGCCAACATTAGTCAACAAATAGTTTTGGGGACGATGTTTGAACATTTTTGGCGGATGTTTCAATCTTTCTGGGTACTGCGAAGGCCTTACGGCCGATGCCGCCGTCCCTGTAGGCAGCGACGACGAAGACAATGGAAGTAGAGGAGTCCAAGATACCTTCAGATGGCTCGAAGACGGCGCCAGATGCCTGCAAGGTCGTCCGAAGACAGCTCAAGAGGCCTCTTCCAGGGTTCGGAAACGGCTCCAGAGAGTGCCAAGATAGGCAAAGAGCACCCTCAAATGGCCCGAGAGGGTTCCAAGACGGCGTCAAGCGCGGTCCAAAAGCGCCCGCAGAGGTTGTCAAGAGTGCCGCCTGCCGCCAGCTGCCAAGAGAGTCTAAAAATAACACATATCTTTTAAACAAACCTTAAGATAGGCTGAAAGGGCCCGCAGACGGCCCCGGAGGGCCAACGGAGCCCCAGGACGCAAGAGGATGACAGGCGGGGGGCTGTGTATCCGAGGGGGGCCCACCCCCGGGAGTCGCCCCCGGACCCCCCCCGGGACCCTCTTCCCCCCCCCGGCGGGGAAGGGATCAAGGGAAGGGGCTTCTCTTCGACTGAAGGACGACGTTTTTCAATTTTTGCGTGGACTTGTGTAGGGAGCCCTCCGAAAGCAGAAGAGGCGACGACGCTGTGGGGAAAACGGAAAAGCCTTTCCCACACGCCAACAGGGTCGGCTGATTTGTGAATTTGTCGCTGACAATCCGCCTGTAGGGGGACATGCCCGACTTAACCGTTAACCGTTGGGGCCTTTGCAGGGCCCTGGGGCCGTCACCAAAACAAACTCAGGACGAAAAGCGGGCCCCTGGGAGGAGGTCCAGACACGTTGGGAGCCACGTCGTGACGAAGTCACGACGCCAGGGAGTCTTCGAGATGTTATCGCTAGTCCGTTCGGCGGTGCATCGCAGATTCGAAGCCCTTGTCTTCCCTCCGGCGATCCAGCTTCCTGGTCGTCGGGGCCGGCTGGCACCCCCGCCTGCCGTTGTGCCAGAGCCACAGTGTCGGATGATGAGGAGCCAGGAGGCACATCGCTGAAGGCTCCCTGCCTAATTCCATGAGAGTTTGCGCGCTCTATCTCCTCCCTCCCCGACCCCCGACGCCAGGATTTTCTCGTGACGTGGACCCCCAGAGACTGGACCCCTGCCCGGGAACAGGCTCTGAAGGTCCCGAGGCTCAGTAAGGGTCGATGATCTTCGGGATGCGTGTTGGCTCAATGTGTGTGTACGCATGCGGGTGTGTGCGCGTGTGTGTGTGTGTGTGTGTGCGCGTGTGTGAACCCCGTTCAGCCCCGCCGATAGCACGTTGCCCGTGTCGGCTCCCATGACAATGCCTGAGTCGTAGTACTTAAGAGTTGGGGTGTGAACCCCGTTCGGCTCCGCCGACAGCACGTTGCCACGTTGCCCGTGTCGGCTCCCATGACACCGCCTGAACCGTCGCACTGAAGGGTTAGGGCGGTGGGCAAGCACACGCTAGCGCTAGCATACACTGTCTGAGGATCTCCTCGAAAGAGCCCTCAGAGCCACGACGCGAGGGGGCCTCGACCTGAGCCAGCCCCCTCGCTTCTGGCCCCGGGGGCTGCCGCCCCCCCCCCCCAGGTGCGCTCCGGCCTGCGATGCGTCTGCCACTTCCGGCCGGTCAGAGATTGCCCAGGCCGACCGACGGGGCCGTGACGCGGCGGCCGGCGCCCGTTGCCTCCTCCCTCCTCTTGCTCCCTCCTCCCTCCCTCTCCTCCTCCTCCTCCTCGTCCTCCTCCTCATCCTCCTCCTCCTTCTCCTCCTCCTCCCCCTCCCCCTCCTCCCCCTCCTCCTCCTCCTCCTCCTCCTCCTCCTCCTCCTCCTCCTCCTCCTCCTCCTCCTCCTCCTCCTCCTTCTCCTCCTCCTCTTCCTCCTTTGCAAGAAGTTCACGGACGGAGGGCGGTTCCTTTTCAGAGTGTGGCTCTTGCTTCAGTGCCGCAGGCATTCGCTGTAAAAGCTCAGGAGCTCCACGGCTGGAGGGCGGCTCCTCTTCCAAATGTGGCCCTCGCCTTTGCGCCGCGCCTTTTTCGTCTCAAAAGTTTGCAAGAGATCACGGATGGAGACAGGTCATTTTTTGAATATGTGGTTCTCGCTTGGGCGCCGTTGACATTCGTTTCGTACTCTTGCAGAGGCTTCACGGATGGCGGGTGGTTCCTTTTCCAAAGATGGCTCTCGCATTAGCGTCGCGCAGATTCGTCTCACAAACTTGCGGGGGGTTCACGGATGGAGGGGGCCACGTGCGAACCCTACCCCTCCCCCTCAGAAATCGTGGGGGGTAGGGGTAGGGTTCGCATGTGCCCCCCTAGTTCTGTTTCAAAATGTGGTCTTCGCCCAGGCGTTCCGCACAGTACTTCCAAAAGTTTGCAAGAGTTCACGGATGGAGACCAGGCCGTTTCCCAAATGTCTCCTTCGCCTTGGCGCCGCGCGCATTCGTTTCAAAAGCTTGCAGAGGGGTCACGGATGAAGGGCATTCCTTTTCAAAATGCGGTTCTTACCTCAGCGCCGCGCACCTTCGAATTGAACATTTCAAGAAATTCACGGATGCAGGGTGGGTGCTTTTCAACGTGTGGATCGTTCTCGTCTCAGCGCCGCGCGCAATCGTCTTACAAGTCTGGAAGAGCTTCACGGATGGAGGTGGTTTTTTGTTGTCAAAATGTCAGCGCCGCGCGCATTGGGATTCAACGTGTGCAACACTTTACCGGGTTCTTATGGTTGACGTTCCAAGTATGATGCCCCGGCAAGATTTAGGGTTTTCGGGGTGCAGCGGTCATTCTGACTCGCGGTGCTGGACGAAGTCCCCAGAGTTGTGTTCTGTCGTGATTCAGAACCGCCAGGACGCAACAGCACAGATGATTCGCGACGTTGAGGTACAAGTTGTGGGAAGTGGACATGGGTTATTGTAGGGACCTTTGAGAAGGGAACTAGGAGTGATGGTTTATTTCAACATCTTTGATGCGTCGTGGGTTTACGCTGGTCCTCCACCCCTCGTTCCTCCTTCCTCCCTCCTTCCTCCTCACCCTTCTCGTCCTCCTCCGCGTCTGCCTCCCTTCCCGTGACTTTTTGGTCAGAAGCCTGGCGGCAATGCAGGCTGTCTTGCCCAGTTGCTTCCAACAGAGGTGGCTGCCACAAGGTATGCTTCAGTCGGGCATGTCCCTCCACAGGAGGATGATTCAAACATTATCAAAGAATAGTCTGGGGGCGATTTTTATATCGTGTTTGACTTGTTTGGATTTTGTTTTTGCTGGGGGGGGTATCTTTTGATTTTTTCGTCCACAATCTGGCTGAAGGGTGGACATGCCCGACCTCAAGGTATGCGGAATGCAAATATCATCCACCAACACCAGGTGCCAACAAGGGCCCTTACGAGTGGCTCGGAGGCCAGAAGGCCTGCCCTCCCAGGCATTCACGAGCACTGCCTCCAAGATGGGAGAGAGCCCGCGTGGCCCGCCCGACTCATCAGAATTATGTCAACCCTCAAGGGCATCAGCAGTCCACTACAAACCTCCCTCCCTCCTCCCTCCTCCGCCTCCTCCTCCACCTCCTCCTCCTCCTCCCTCCTATGCCTCCTCCCTCATCCTCCTCCTCCTCCCTCCTTCTTCTCCTCCCTCCCTCCTCCCTCCTCCCTCCTCCTCCTCCTCCCTCCCTCCTCCCTCCTCCGCCTCCGCCCGCCCTCCCTCCCTCCCTCCCTCCTCCCTCCAACGCCCTCCTCGTCTCTGGCGCACGGCAGGGTGGCGCGCCAGTGGCGGCCTTCTCAGCGCTCCTCCTCCAGGCCTCCCAAACCTGGGCCCGAGTAGATGGGGTCGAGGGATCGCGCCGAAGCGCCGATGCATCGGCGACGCTTCCGATGCATCGGCCGAGCCGATTCAAGGGACACGCGCGGGCCTCCGAAGGCTTGTCTCCTAAGCAGCGGTTGTTGTGGGGGCCCTGAGCTGCCCTGGGGCAAGCAGCTGCACTGAGCCCACGACGCGACCAATCTGCCGCCGAAGCGTCGTGCCGTGCCTACGTGCCGCGCCTTTCCGTGCTTGCAGGTGCTGTCGTGCGACGAGCGTGCCGTGTCGAAGCCGCGTGGCCGTGCCGTGCCCTGCCTGAAGTCCAGAACGCGCCTAACATGCCCTGCCGGGGCCGCGCGCCGTCGTGTGCCGTGCAAGGACAGAACGTTGTGCCGGGCCGGGCCCACGAGACGTGCCGTGCCGTGCTCACAATCAAGCAGTGGCGAAGCGTCCAGGCTCGCTTATAGCCCTATCAAACAATGTTCTAAGAACCTGTTGTGGTTTCCACGAAGTGTTCTTAGGATATTTCTGGCGGAGACCATCGTGTTTTATCACATCGTGTTCACGTTCTAAGATCATTGTTTTGTTATTCGATTTTTTTTGGGTTCTGAGAACACTTTGTGGTAGGGCTATAGGAATGATGCTGGAACGGTCGGTCTCTGCTCAACATAGCAAGTTCTCGAATGCGGCAGGGGTGTGCCGTGCCGTGCCCGCGTGCTGCGTCATGCCTCGAAGTCGGAATGCGGTGAAAGTGCTGTGCCGAGTCCGTCTGCCGTCTGCCGTCTGGCCGTGTGCCGTGCCGAGGTCTGTCTCAGAGCTCGACAGGAGCGTGCCGTGCCGTGTCTGCACAAGCACACAAACATTGGCACACACACACACACGCACACAAACACACACGAACACACGCACACGCACACGCAAACGCACACACACACAGACGCACACGCAAACGCACCTGCACACGCACACGCACACGCACGCGCACGCGCACGCGCACGCGCATACGCACACGCACACGCACACGCACACGCACACGCACACGCTCACGCACATGCGCACGCACACGCACACACGCACGCACGCCCACACGCACACACGCACACGCACACACGCACCTGCACACGCACCTGCACACGCACATGCACACGCACGCGCACGCTCACACGCACACGCACACGCACACGCACACGCACACACAGACACAGACACTTACGTACACGCACGCGCACACGCACACGCACGCGCACGCGCACGCGCACACGCACACGCCACGCACACCAGAGACACAGACACACACGCACACGCACACGCACACGCACGCCACACGCACACACACACAGACACTCACGCGCACACCGATTCGCACACGCACACGCGCACGCACACGCACACGCACACGCACACGCACACGCACACGCACACGCACACGCACGCACGCACACGCACACGCACACGCACACACACACGCACGCACACACGCACACGCACACGCACACGCACACGCACTTACACGCACACGCAACACGCACACGCACACGCACACGCACACGCACACGCACACGCAAACGCACACGCACACGCACACGCACACGCACACGCGCACGCACACGCACACGCACACGCACACGCACACGCACATGCGCACACACACACACACACGCACACGCACACGCACACGCACACACGCACACGCACCTGCACACGCACCTGCACACGCACACGCACACGCACACGCGCACACGCACACGCACACGCACACGCACGCTTCCTTTTGATGCTGACCACATGCATGTTCCCATGCAGCGTTGCTTTTCGTAGTCCTTTTTGAGGGGGATTAGCAATCACATAAGCATAAACGCTCACAGTTCCGCGGAGGCTTTGCCGCCTCTGCAGTTCGAGGGAAGAATCGTGGATCGAACAATGACATACATAGCATAACAAATCACAGGTCCGCGCGTCATTTCTCGGATCGACGATGCGACCCCGTGGCGGCGCCGCCTCCTGCGCCGCCCCTGGCCAGCGCCTATCCGAGAAATCCGCGCGGGTCTCCGAGTTGTTATGCTTATGCCATTGTGCGTGCCCTAATTTTTGCAAGATGCAGCTGTTTACGCCACTTCTGTGCCTCTGCTCCATCCACCATCTCCATGCCCGCCGACTGTTCACTCCCGGGGCGCAGTGAGGGCGACGCGCGCGAAGTAGGGGGCGCGCGTCGGGAGGAGGGGCGACCCGCGCGTATCCGTAATGCAGTGCCTTGTGCATGGCCGCGCCGCGCGGTCGAACTTCAGACACCATTGGGGACGTACCTGCCGCTCTGCAGAAAGGGTCCCGGCCCGCCGGCGTCTGCCCCCTGCCGTGTGCGTCTGGGGGGCCCATTCTGCCGCGCGTGAGCGAGAGTGGTCCTTTGCAGGAGCCCCCCCCCAGCAGTGGCAGGCGTCTGTGCTTCTGGGCCCCGCTGGGCACCCCCTGACGCCGCGCACCAAGGTCACCCCATCCCTGGGGTCCGATTTGCGTGTAGCCTTACGTCGGGCCTGTCCCTCTACAGGAGGAGTCTCCAGAGATAGTAAGAAATAGGCTGGGGACGATTTTTTTACCATTTTGGAATATTTTATAGTGTGTTTGTTTTTTTGACTATTTTTCATTTTTCATCCAGAATCCTCCTGTAGGGGGACAGGACCGACTTCCCTGGGGTCAGATTTGCGTCTAGCCGGTATGAAACGGCGCCCTTCCGAGCCGAAGGAGCTGCCTAGGAATGGCCAAAGCGTTCAAGAACCAGAGCGTTTGGGAGCGCTCTCAGGCCGCGTCAGAGCCCTCTGGGACGGCCACGCCGCCGCATGCGTGCTTCGAAGACGACAAAAGGGCATAAACATAGCCTTTCGGAGTTCTGTGCGGATCTCTTGGATCTGCTCTGGGATCCCCTGGCGGCGCCTCCCCCGCCGCCCCGGGTCCATCTCGGATCCAAGAATTCCGCGCGGACCGGCACGAGTTTGTGTTTGCGCAGTCCTTATGTTCCTCGGATATTCCAGGCCAGGCCCGCCAGATCGCAGAGATTCCCGAGCACTGAGTGGCGTCGGGAATGGCGTCCCCCCCCCCCCTTGCAGAGCGAAGCTTGAGCGAGCTCAAGTCCACGCTCTCAGAAACACGCTGGATCGGCGAATTCCAGGCCAGGCCCGCCAGATCTCAGATATCCCCGATTTGCCCACATCCGACGTCGTCATCGTCCGGGCTTCGTCTCGAGAGCGGGACCCCGGGGCTCGGTCTCGGGAGCTCGTGGGGCCCACGGGCTGCCTGGGCTCTCGTCCTCGTTGCGCGTCGTGTCGCTGGCTCCTCGCGGCGCCCTTCCCTGTCGAGGGGTCTTCCCATCAGAGGCGACGATTGGGGCGAATAGCTCAGGGGAGAGCAAAACGTGTATTCAGGTGCGCCGATGGTCTATGTCTTCGAGAAGGCTCTCAGGCGAATGCGTGTAATGCCCGCCCCTGGGCTATTCGCCCATCTCGTCGCCGCCGATCTTCCCAGATCATGCAGTGGCGAAGCGTCCTGGGTCGCCTACAGGCCCACCAGAGAATGTGCGAAGGACCTTTTGTGCGGAGCCGAACTCTAGATTTACACCGATGCTTTTTCCGGCCCCGCACTGGCACTCGCACATGACAGCGGATCCCGGTGTATACGTACGGGATTTTGGTGTATACATGTTTCGTTGTTTCCCCAGGAAAGGGGGGAAACAAGTTTACACCACAGCACCCCGACGTCGCCCCCGACCCTCAAAAAGTCATGGGATTGAACAACAGCCCGCTATTGGTAATGTATGTGTTCCAGTTTCCGATCTGGTCTGCACGGCATCTCACCAGAACATTTCTGGTTGAGTTTGTATCGTTCTAAGACGTTGGTTTCATGTTCTAAGAACATTGTTTTCGTTCTTAGAACAGCCGTCGATTCTACGAACATGTCGTGGTAGGACTATTGGAATGCCAGGGCGGTCGGTCGGTCCCTGCTCAACCAGAGGCGATGCGGGATGGGGAGGCAGCCCCCGGGGCCGGGGGAGCCAGTGGAGAGAGCGGCAGCTCTGCCGTCGGTCCCGAGTCCATGCAACACCAGTTTGGGCCTCGCGCGCAGTCAGCTCGCACAGGAAGGATGGGCAGCCTTCCCAAGGGTACCCATGCATTCTTGCCTCTGCGGTCCATCCTTGGCCGCTTTCGTTGGCCGCGCTCCGCTCGAGAAGCGGCCAGATGGGCGTCCGAGGCCCTCGCATCCTTCCCGCGCATCCTTGCGATACGGGGCGATCGATGGGGGGGCAGCGAGTGCTGCAGAACAGGGGCCCATTCGGGCCCCTACATGGGGCCCTTTTTGGGCCCAGAGGGGGGCCCGCTGGGCCCTGGAGCAAGGCACCCGTCCCCCCCCCCCCCCTGCATCTGCATCGCCCCCCATGAACTCGCGCCCAGATCGGGCCCAGGACCTCTCCAGGCACCCAGCCTGACCCGTTCGTCGACGCGGATCCGGCCGTGGCGACGAGAGGCCTGCGGGAGGCCCGCGAGTGTCAGGATGGGACAGAACACACAACACACACAGACACACTTAGTCATCATCGATCCCAAAGAAAATGTGGGAGCATCTGGGAAGTGGGGGGGGGAATACGAAAATCCAGAAAACACGAGAGAATCTGGGGAATCCTGGGATGTGTGTTTGTGTATTTGTGTGTGTATTTGTGTGTCCCTGGGCCCCCTTCAGAGTGACGGCGCCGCAGGCCGCCGCCGCCTCCGCGTGGCCCTCCTTGGCGGAGGGCCTGGGGCGGAGGACGGCCTTCCGACCTGTTGGCGCAGAGCTCGCGCGCCTCCGGCGGGGGAGGGGGAGGGGGGGCTGGCGAGCGGCGTGGTGCGGGGTGGTGCCTCCTCCTCCTCCTCCTCTTCCTCCTCCTCCTCCTCCTCCTGCTCCTCCTCCTCCCTCCTCCTCTTCCTCCTCCCCCTCCTCCTCCTCTTCCTCCTCCTCCTCCTCCTCCTCCTCCCCCCCCTCCTCCCCCTCCTCCCCTGTGGAGGACGATCATTGGAGAGGAAGCCTGTTGCCAAATGATATCCCAGGTGTCTACGAACATGTTGAAATCATGTCCTCAACATGGAGCACACGTGTTTTGAACATGTAAAAAAAAACATGTCCCAAACACTAAACGCATGTTCAATTCAATGATGGGATGGTCAGGGTGTCCATTGTCATGACATCCTGAAGCGGCTTGGTGCGGGGTGATGCGGGGGTGCCGTTTTTGGTGCAGCCGCCTCCGTGCGCGCGGGGGGTCGGGACGGGCGGTCCGCTGGGGCGGGGTGGTCAGAGGAGGAAGGGGCACTGGTATCCAGAGGAAAAGATACCCATGCCGCTACCCTTCCCTCGTTCTCCCTTCCTTGGGCCCTGCTGAGAGGCCCTCGTCGCCACCGCTGGATTCGCCTCGAAGCTCTGGTCAGAACGCACACCAGGAGAGGTCCGGGGAGCAGCGGTGTATCAGCACCTGTTGGTCTCCGGAGCGCTCCCCGGGAGAGGCACGGGGTAGGCAGGCGGGGCGGGGCGCTGCAGGTTCACTCGGCAGCATGTCATGGGAGCCTCGTATATCCTCACGAGTCCGTCTTGAGAGTGCACGAGCGTCGACCAGCGTCTGGTAGTCGATGCGATAGCGCCGACCTGGCGTCGATTCGAATCGATCTGCGTCGACCAGCGTCGATTCAGCGTGGATTGGCGTCGGCTAGCGTCGATTCGCGTCGGTTCGCAAGAGCTTGCAATTTGGTATCGGAGGCTCCCATGAGTTACCACCGAAAGCTGTACAGCTCGACCTTTTGAGGCCAGGCCCCCTGTGGTGTCGTCGGGCGGTCCATGCCTGTCTGCATGCTTGTCCGCCAGTCTGCTCGTCTGCGCGCTTGCCTGCGTGTCTGTTTGCCAGCCTGTCTGTCTGTCTGCCTGCCTGCCTGCCTGCCTGCCGGTGTGTCTGTCTGTCTGTCTGTCTGTCTGTCTGTCTGTCTGTCTGTCTGTCTGTGTGTCTGTGTGTCTGTCTGTCCTGTCTGTCTGTCTCTCTCTGTCTCTCTGTCTCTCTGTCTCTCTCTCTCTCTCCCCTCACTATGTATGTACATGCATGCACATATATAGGTATACACACGCACTATATGCTATGTTTGTGTGTTGTGTATGCTTGCTTTCTTTGCTCTCTCCCTCTCTCGCTCACTCAATCTTGGCTTGGGCATCGAGAAGAGACGGGTAGGCAGGTAAGCTCCTCGCCCTTCCTTCCCTCCTCGTCCTTGGCCTCCCCCGGTCTCCTCCGAGGTCCGTCTAGCTTCTCGCAGGATGAGGATGGGAGGGGATGAAAATGAGGGTGGGGAGGGGACGGGGATGAAAAAAGGAGGACAGGAGGAGGAGGAGGAGGAGGAGGAGGAGGAGGAGGAGGAGGAGGAGGAGAGGAAGATGAGAGGGTGGAGAGTGAGGATTGAGGAGGATGAGAGGGCGGCAAGCGAGATTTTCATGGAGGGTGGTATGTGCAAGGGCCGTTGTTGGCACCTGGTTTTGGTGGATGTATGTGATGAACATTCCGCATACGTGCCATGTGGCAGCCACCTCTGTTTCAAGCGATAATACAGGACTACCTGAATTGCCGGCAGGACTTTGACCGAAAAGTCAGGGGGAGGGAGCAGGATGCGGAGGAGAATGGGGCGTAGGAGGAGGACGAGGAGGATGAGGAGGGCTGGGAGTTGGGAAAGAGGGACACGTGGTAGGGGGGGGAGGGGACCAGGGGTAGAAGGAGAGACCATGATGAATGGAGTTGGTGGTGGTGATGGCGAGAATCATGGTGATGGATGTTGCAGTGACGTTGATGGTGATGCTGGCGATGGTTATAACAACGACGACGTCGCCGACGACGAGGACGACGACATGACGACGACAGCGACGACGACGATGATGATACTGATGATGGGAAAGACGGTGAGACTGATGGCGATGATGATGCTGATGCTGCTGATGATCATGTTGTTGAGGATGATGTTGACGACGACGACAATGTTGATGACGACGATGCTGATGATGATGCTGATGCGGATTATGATGATGATGATTGTGCTGATGATAATGCTGATGATGATGGGGACGATGTTGACGATGGTGACGACGTTGATGACGACGACGGCAACGAGGATGATGATGAGGATGATGATGCTGACGATGATTATGTATATGCTGCCGATGCTGATGATGCTGATGCTGAGTATGATGTTGGTGCCGATGACGATGATGATGATGCTGAAACTGATGATGATGATACTGATGAGGAGGACGACGACGATGATGATGATGATGATG